AATGAGATAAACCACTTCCTCTCTTCCAGGAAAATGAGAAATAAGTAAATACGTTTATGAAAGCAATTTTTAGTTGACTGTCCGTAGCTGATCTTTCTCTTATGCGGATGCAGGTCTCCCTCGCAAAGTAGTATGCAGACACTTTTTAGTTTAGTCTTATAACAGGTGAGAAGGCATTAATGCTATTTTTCAACTAACAATAGGGCAACAACACGTCAGAGACAGAAACCCCTACTCATTTGTCCAGATGATAATGCCTTCCTTATAACAGTTTTCTGTCTTTACAGGGTGGAGAACTGACACAAATATTTATGTTTTACATTTGCTTTCTTCAGATTGCCTTAAATACTTTATAGAAATCACATGATTTAACTCCTTTAATAAGAACCAGGTCATGGACCAAATCATGACAGATGCTAAGTTAGACCAAAAGTCCTCCTCAGCTCCATAACCAGATTCAAGCAGGTCCTCTAAGAAACTATAGAAGAACAGAGTATGTAGGGGATGATTGCTACCTTGGTAAATCCTTCCAGCTTTTGACAATTGGCAATTTAAAGTCACTGCTACACTTTAGAATCCTTTCCAAATAGAAAAGAGGACAACAAAGAAAATTTGAATTAAGTTTCTCCTTTTATTGTATTCAGAAAGTTGTTCTAAAGACATTTCCCAAATCTAACAATATGCATGTACCATTACAAGAAAGACAAGTAAAATGTAAAGATAAGCACCAAGAAAGCTTTGACTTTAATTACTAACCCATGTGATCCATGCTCTGTGTTATTGCCTTTTAGTCACATGCAATGGACCGCCTGGTTGAACAGTGGAAAGAAAATACACTGATTACTGCTTTCTACTGATCTCCCTCACCTGGGCTCTTGCTTCCAGAGTCATAATGGTAAGGATACTGGCAATGCTATCCATAAAAACTGACATCTGTGTATCTGAGGGAAGAAAAGGCAGACACCCTTCAAAAATGGAAGTTGTATGTAAGTAAGGAGCATAGAAAGAGCATAAACTCTGTCATACTAAATGTAGAACCACAACAGAGCTGACCAAACAGATTGTAAATTTTTGCCAAGACTGTGGAAGTAATAATATAAACTTTTTCAAATTCCATCACCAGAGGAGTCCCGCAAGACACCAAGCTGAAGCTATAGAGGATGATAAGTGTAGAAGAGGCATTGAGGGTGGCTAACTCCACAGCTAAAAAGCTGAAAGAATTATTTGCCTTGCTAAAGATCCAAATGTTAGATGGGCTGAGCGTGAGGAACTGTCCTAAAATGACTTGTCAGTAGGAAAGACTTCAAGAGAGATTGATAAATTAAATAGTAACGAATTGCTGGAGTTGTGCAGTGTTTCTACCAAGGGATTCAAATGTCCAGCTGCTGAAGTGCTAGTGCCAGTGGGTTGGGTTTTGCTGAACCCGATCCTAATGCCAGCAAAATAGAACATAGGAAATGTACCACTGATCTACTGGTCTTTCAAAAGACTCCTCTAAGGGTGCTCACGGGAAATACAAAACTGTCAATGTGACTTCTATGCCAGGAAAATTAAATGAACTGTTGTAAAGAATAAAATCAATAGATGCACAGATAAAGCTGATACTCTGTAGAAGCATCAAATGGATTCTGTTAAGGGAGGTTATGCCTCACAAATCTATTGGCGTTCTTTAAAGACATCAAAAAGCACATTGATATTATTATTCATGCTTGAACGTGTGATCAGTGTAACCTTAGATTGCAAGACTCGGACCCTTGGGACCCTTACCCCAAGGCAGTCTGGACAGAACTGTTTCTTCTCTTCACCTGCATTCAAGCAGAGCAGGAATTCACACAGGGTATATAGCCTAACCGTTTTTATAATAATCTTCACTCCTATAGAAATAGCAAAGTAGAGAATAACGCACATAGCTCCCACAGTTTAAATCCCATGAGTAACAGTATATACTGTACTGAATTTTTAATAGCACATTATTCAGAGTATCACATAAATTGTTATTACTGATGTAATAAAGCCTAAACCAACACAGCTGGAGAGACCAAGGCTATAAATATACCATATATTTTTTTTGTATAGTAATGATATGGGCCAAATTATTTTCAAGTCTAATTCTGCTGATTTTAGTTGACTTAGACAAAGTCTGAATGTGTACATCTACTGTAATTCATGCCTCTGGTCAAATGCCTTTGCCTAATCTATATTTATGTTTTCATACAGAAACTGCTGCGTGGTCCTTAAAGAGTGTTCTCTGGTTGATGGATTGATCCTGCTGCTGGGGAACTCAAAGGAAAAATTCAGGTGAGGAAGATCTGAACACACTGTAATTCAGCATTCTAAGCTTTTTGAGTATATAAAACTACTATTTCCTTACTTCTTGTGTTTTCTGATCATCCCTCTGTCTCTGCTGTAGTCTCTGGTGAAAAGTGCTCACAGGGGCAAACATCTGCGCTGTGCAGCTCAGGTCTAGTGGAGCCCACCTTGCAGGAGGGGCAGGGCACACAACGTGACCCCTTGAGAATTCTTTGTTGTTCCTCCTCTGTTTCTGTGATCTCAGTGTCCAAATAAAACATTTCAGGCCAGATCATGAATATGAGGTCACAACACACCATGTATGTGTGTTTCAAGCTTTTTGCCAGTAATCTTTAGGGCACGATTCAAAGCTTGTTGAAGACCACTGTTGCTGACACTGATTTCGGGGAAAATTCATTTGGACTTTCTCTAAAGCAGGACTCAAAACTTTTCTTTGTTCTTGGTTGGCTAGGCACACCATCAGGCCTCTGCATAACTGATGGTACTACACGTATATATATCACATATAGTTATATAGTTGATGATGGCAAATTTCAAAATCTGTTGTACAGACATGTCTGTCTATAACATGAGAGTTTCCAAGCTGGTTTAATCTCTGTGATAGCTGCGGTGGCATAGAGGAGCACAGACAACATTCCACACCAAAGGGCTCCGTGACAGGACTGTCAGTGCTGGCAAAACATGCAAGTGTTAGGGAAATGCTGTACAGATGGTTACGTGCACCAGAGCTATCTGCTGCGCAAGGCTGTGCTTCCTTCTGAATGTGCTGGACACGGTTCTAGTATAAACTTATCTGGTAGGTTACAGTATGGGCAGGTCTGACTTTCTTAATGCATCCAGAAAAAGACCATTTCAGTGCAAGAAGTATTTTGCTTTTAAGGAATAGATCAATTTAGTACAGACAAACACTTTCTTGCAGCCAATTCCCTGCTCTTTTTTTCCACA